ATAACGCCACCTCTTTTCTATACTTTAAAGCTGAAGAATTACTCTTTGGCATATTGCGAAACTTTTTGCTAAAATAGATTCTAATTATCTAATGTTGTGGTGGGGTTGGTATTATGTTGTATCTAAGTGATGCCCTTGGGGTGGGTATTTCCCTTGGGGTGGGAGGCCCGTGCAACGCGCGGGCAATTTCTTGAAATTTTCGGGACGAACCATTGGGCCCGAGTATGTGTTCGGTTGCTTTCTTTCTCTGTTTTAGGCCACCCGTCCGTTCCCGCTACTTCCCACGCGAAAGGGAGAGAGAAGGGAAGGAAGGGAGGGGGGCGGGCCAATTTCTGGACTAGGCGCTGATGTCCGATTGTCCGTTTTTTTCCAAAGTGGGGTAGTCCAAGGTGGAGAAAAAAAGGATCAGATACACAAAGATGCCAAGGTAGGCAGGCAGGGGAGGAAGGCCAGGTTTTTTTTTCTTTTTTCTTTTGCATTTATCCGCCGTTGAGGCACAGTGCGATCGGCGAACGGGGGTTCAGTCTAGGTTGGCGGAACAAACATCATTTTATTGCGCTAATCAATGCATCGGGAGCTGTGAACCGTCTTTATGTAAATCATATCGTGCTTTTGTGTATCTTCGAAGAGGGGATGGATTGGTAAGTAGACCGTGCCGCAGATGAAATTTGCCTTGAAAAATGCCTTGTCCGCAAGTACCCATGGCCATGACGCCATTCGCTACTGGGTGAAGAACCCCGTACCCCGACCGATAGCTAGGTGTACATTACAGTTGCTGAACTGTGTATGGATGGTTGAACAAATTTACCAAATGTCATGGTATCACTCTTCACCTCTATAACAATCGTGAGATACTAAGGACGAGTACTTAGAGAAATACATAGGTTTTATTTTGATACTCAGATATGTTACATGGGCGGACAAGGCGATAAGCGGACAAGGTGATGGGCGAACAAAGTAGTGGGTGGACAAGATAATGAGCGGACAAGATAGTGAATGAACAAGGTGATGAGCGGACAAGGTCATAGGTGGACAAGGTGAGAGCAGCTGGAGTATACTTATATATGGTAAGCTAGTGGGCTCGACTCACCACGGACTACCTAGTGCAGTATTCCCCTACGTCACAGATCCATATTTGTATACTATCTCGGTCATCAAGATTGTTCCTTCTCATAGAGCTTCTTCTTTCTCGTCATGGTAGCCTTGAGCTCTGACCAAGCCAGTGGATGAGCTTTTTCGCGATGCGAGTACCATCTGTCCGCCGACTGCACCACCTCATCTGCTTTAATCTGCTCTAGATAGCCCAGAAATCTGTGATCAGAGCACTGCAGCTGTCGACGCCCACCGAAGAATAGAGTGATTTTGCGGAGCTTCTTCGCATCACGGAGGACACGCAAACAGTTGAGTAAATACTCGTCGTTGAGATATCGGCGCTGCTCATTGGACGTGAGATACGGCGTATCCCGCGGACAGGCGTCGTCGAATACCCACTTTATATCACGGAGATACTGCAGGTTTTCTGAACCGATCATCTTCAGAAAATGCAAGACGTCTTGATAGCCAATCTCTTTGGGGACAGTGTCCCAAAACGGAGCGCGGGTTGCGTAATGGCGATGGAAGGAGAAAGCGTTTTCGCCGTATAGAATCGAACAGCCTTCATTATGAACCAACTTACACGTCCGGAGGAACTGAGACGACCTTGCAAGACTCCTATTAGGGCCACTACCTCTGACTGCGGGGATCGTGAGCATTTGATCGGGGTCTTTCTGTGCAAAAAGACGGCGATAGATGTTATTACGCAGCTCTGGTGGCAAATCCGTGAATCCCTTGGGGCGCACCGAGACTGTTTTCGTCGGCTCTGAAGCTAGACGGATCTTTTTCGATTTAATCGGCCTCATCTCGTGCAGGTCATCTTGCTTGTGTATGAGGGTGCGGTCGAGCTTGACAAAGAGGGGACCATGAAAGCCTAGTGGGACGTTGAACTGCAACGTTATCGGCGGAGGCTTTCTCGAGTCGCAGCGGACGCCTTCCTCAATATCGGTCATTTCATCAAGCTCTTGGTTGTAGATGATAGGCTCAGGGCGAGGGGATGGAAGGGAGGGGCTACGTTTGCGCTTTTTTCTTTTGTTTGCTCGACCACGAGGCTCCATGTCTTCATCTTCTTCATCCTCACTTTCTTCTGTCGTAAAAAGGTCGGCATCGTCAGCTTCGAAGCTCACATAGCCGTCGGGTTTCTTGATTTTGCCTGCACTCCTGCGGATGGGACGGCCGGTGTGCTTGTTGTAGACTGTGATGGCCTTTGGTGGACTGCCGAGCTCGGGGCTGCTGTCCCGATCGCGGCGAGTCGTTGACGAAGATGGATCTGGAGTCTTTGCTTTGTCAACCATGATGGGCAGTAATGGTGTGCCGGTTGAGGTTGAGGTTGAGGTTAAGGCGACGGTTGAAGTGAGTAGCGGGGTGAGTAGGTGCGCGACCATAAACAGTGGAAGGAGTCACGCCGCCTGAGGAAGTGACGGTCACTCTGAACGCGTTCCTTCCAGTATCACCTTGCTAGTGGTCTTGGCGAACTGTTTGCTAGTAGCGGAGGCGCTATTTCGTCGAGCACTTGGAGCCGGGTTTCGTATTGACTGGCAGTACTGCATTGTATCGCTCTGTCTATGCCCGCCAACACTCGATACAGCACCCTCTACTGGTGCCGGTTGCTCAACGTCTTGTTCAAGTTGAATACTGTAGCTACGATGCATTGACTGCTGATCATTGCGGTTCTTCCAGGTTAGCGTAGACGTCTAGACCGATTTGCCAGCATATCCTAAATATCAAGCGGGTGTGATAAGTTGAAGAGTAGGAAGAGGTACTTCCTACTCTCGCCTAGAAAGAAGCTTTCCATGTCATTTTTTGAGCTTATCAGTGCGTAAGTTTCGTAGACCTGCCTGTCTACACTTGGTCCAGCAGTGGCTATTGATGTCGCGAAGCGCCCTGTCCCCTACGTGCAGATACCAAGGGGCATACAGGGCGTGACCGGAGGATGGAGGACGACGGCGGTATGCCAGATAGTGAAAAGTGAAACAGTTATGTTTGGATGATGTTGGCAGCATACATATAGTATTCATTGGTGCGCGTGACGTTGCCGTTGATACAGAGTGAGAGACACCAGCGCTAAGTATGGTGGGCGACGGGCACTGTCTCTTCACTTTCATCACTATGCACCTTGGCTAGTTAGTATACAGAAATGAAATGCGTACTCTGCCAAATATCTAAATAGTTTGAAATTCCCATTTACATATGATGTACTGATTTTGCTTTGTTGAACCTAGAGGATAAGCAGGGGGTATGAGTTCGAAGCCCGATATGGAGGAGGAATATGATCAGCCATGAACAATCCGAAGAGACTAGTTTGCGGAGCCCAGAAGATGAAATTTGTCCTGTCTCGCAAGCAGTAATCGAAAGGTAAAGAATAAAGCATAAAGTGACATTCTGAGTGAAGTTATGGACATACTAGAATGAAGAAAGCTCCTACAACGACTCAGAGGATGACGAAGTGGGTATTGAACTTTTTAGATATCTCTTTTACATGAAACTATGCCAGTATCTCATATCTCCTGTTTATATTCCTTGTTGAATGCCCTTCCAATAACCATTCTCCTAACCTCACTTGTTCCAGCTCCAATCTCGTAAAGCTTGGCGTCTCTTAGTATCCTTCCTACAGGCACCTCGTTCATATATCCCATACCGCCCATTAGCTGGATGGCATCAGCTGCGACCTCACTCGCCCTTTCGGCGGCATACAAAATCGCGCCTGCGCAGTCCTGCGTCTTGATATTCGGGCTAGCGTGCGACTCGTCGACAGCGCGCGCAACACTATATGTGAAAGACTGCGATGCCCTGTACTTTGTGTACATGTCTGCCAGTTTTCCCTGGATGAGTTGGTTGTGTGCAATAGGTTGGCCGAACTGCTTCCTCTGGTGGGTGTATGGCAGAACGTTGTCAAGCGAGGCTTGCATCAGACCCAAGGGACCAGCCGAAAGAACAAGTCGTTCGAGATCCAAACCCTCCATTAGTACGCGGACACCACGATTGACCTCGCCTAACACGTTCTCCTTGGGAACGAAGACATCCTCGAAGACGAGCTCGCCCGTGTTGGAACCGCGCATGCCGAGTTTGTCAAGTTTGTTGGCTACACTGAAACCCTTGGATGAGGTTTCGACAATGAAAGCTGTGATGCCTTTGCTAGCTCCATCGGGAACGGTTTTAGCGTAAACAACAATGGTATGAGCATCAGGTCCCTATATTCGTCAGCGTCAGTATCTTTACTCCCAGGAGGAAGAACAGACGTACGTTGGTAATCCACATCTTCGTGCCATTGAGCAAATACCCACCATCCACCTCTTTTGCAGCCATCCGCATGCTTACAACATCACTTCCCGCACCGTGTTCACTCATGGCCAAGGCTCCTATCTGCTCGCCGCTGATCAATCCAGGCAGGTATTTCTTTTTTTGCTCGGCGTTTCCGTTCAACACCAGCTGGTTGACACAAAGCTGGCTATGGGCGGCATAGCTCAGCCCAATGCTTCCGCTCGCCCTTGAGAGCTCCTCCATGACAACACAGTGTGCTTGGTATCCCATTGCTAGACCGCCAAACTCCTCATCGGCCGTGATACCCAGGAAGCCTGCTTCACCGAACTTCTGCCACATATCGTTGGGGAAAGCATTTTGGCGGTCTGTTTGCGCTGCGACTTCCTCTGGGATCTCACGGCGGGCGAACTCACGAACTGATTCGCGGAGCTCATCGAGGTCGGATTGTGTGGGTGGTGTGAAATTTTGAGGGTGCTTTGTAGATGCGTAGCGTTGCGCGGTGGTGATGAGGGTAGGACGAATGCGCGACTGGCGGATACTTCGTGTGAGGAGACGGTGAGCTAGAGACGCCATGGTTTATGACTGTGTGCAAGAAAAACAAGGAGAAAAAAGTGTGTGAAGAACGGCACAAGCGACGAGAAAGTCGTGAGATGTTTGAATAATGTACGTTCGGTTTGCGGCGGCTGATGAGCCGAGGCACCTTCCTAAAATGCGGAGGAGGTTACGTCTGGTCTGGGGAAGAGACAGCAGCGTCATCCCGCGCCTTGGCTAAATACATATTATGCAAAAAAAGAAAAACAATTTCGCGACACCTAAGTGTTAACGACAGTCCTCTATCGCGGTGGTGTACCGCCTTCAAAGCTCGTCCACGCGCTTCATGGGTCTTCCATTGCACTCCCCCACATCTAATGCCACCAAGAATCTGCTCACGGCATTGTATGCCGCAATGGTGGCCGTCAACTCTACAACCATGGTGTCGCTCAGTGCCCGCTTGACCATTTCAGAGACCTCATCCTCAACCTGTACCCCGACCGTCATTTGATCGGTGTACACCATGACTGCATACTCTTCACTACTGAACCCAGCAGGGACCTCCTTCGCAACCATTCCATGCTTGGTCACAGGTAAGTCGAAGACGGCTTGCAGCACCTGTTTTGAGACGCCAGCTTTGTGCGCGAGCGCAGCGTGGATATCCCATTCGTGCACTGCGTGATTGTGTACTGCTACTCGGCTGATTGCAAGCTCCTTAAGTGTGTCCGGGAGGCTGGTCTTGGTGCGGATGGCGCCGATGAACGAGTTCCAGCCGTCTGCTACGGCGGGGTTGTGGAGGAGCGCCAGATCAAGAGGAATGAGGGGGCGGGGCTTTCGTCGCTCGGCGATGCGCTCGTAGATCGGACGCGCCTCTTCATTTGGAGGTTCGCTGGGGGCATATGGGACACGCATTTTGGCTCTGACAGATGGAGTGAAGGCCCGTGAGTAGGTTATGGGTAAGCAGACACAAGAAAGAGGACGTGAAAAGTGGAATTGACGGAGGAGCATTATCAGATGAAAGGGGGACTGGACTTAAATTTATAGCCAGCACACGTAAAGAGCGGAAATATGACGGAATTGCTTTCCGGTGCCCGGAGCCGTTTTTCTAATGGTCTTGAAAATGCTTTCATTTTGTTTTCATTCATGAGGGTATTTCCCATCAATTCCGCTAAATACAACATTTATATAACAAACACTGCAAACGCTAGATTCTCACAGCCTGCTCTGCTCATCAAACACATTTGGTAGCCTGGGAATGCCCTCAAGTCTGGTCGACTTCTTGCCAGAAGGTGCAAGTGTGACGTTGTATGTCAAGTCGAGCTTGGCCTTGGGGTCCGTGCTAGGCACAAAGTCGAGAAGCAAATCATCCTTGACAGCAAAGACGGTGTCGTTGGTGACGTATGGGTCATCACGGGGGTATAGTTGAGTGATCAAAGGCTTGTAGTTGTCTGCTGAAACCATGAGATGGATGTGAGCGGGGCGGAAAGGGTGGCGGTCGAGAGTCTTGAACAGCTGGCCAGCAGCGCCTATTATGGTGGGTTAGTCAGGTTCACGTTTTGGTGTGGAGTTATATTTCAACATACCATCGGTAGGCAGCGAGTACGCTGTGGGCTTGTAGCAGTAGTACCAGTACTCGCCGTTCTCGTTTGTGGTGAACTTTCCCCTCAGGTTGTTTGGCTCCTGGTTGTCAGGGTCCTGGAAATCGTACTTTCCGTTGGCACTCGCTTGCCAGATATCGATGACGGCGTTGGGGATGCCCTTCTTGGTGTCTAGGTCAATGACCTTGCCGTGCATGAGAGTGGTCTGGCCATCGGGGTGGGGGTTTCGGACAATGGTATCGCCAAGTGGGCGGAATGGCGAGTGTGGCGACCAGAAAGGACCGAGAATCGTTGAGGAAGTAGGTGTCTCGCCAGACTCGTTAATGTGCATGTGAGCGATCTCATCGACCAGTCTACGAGTGTGTTAGCGAAATGGTCTAACTATTTTGCCAACTGTAATGCTTACGATTCTACTCCAAGGACATCAGAGATACGGTGCGCCTCGTTCCTGGTGCTGGTGGTGGTTTTGCCAATGGAGTTGACAAATCGTACACCCTCAAACCACTCGTCGTTGGTCAACTCGACCTCACGAATAAAGTCATGGAGATGCCTGATCAGCTTGCCCATAACAAATCGTGTCCGGTCTGGTACCGCGGGTCCCATGGCGTTGATGACAGCATCAGTGAAGTTAGGGTCGAAGCGATGCCCGCCCTTATTTTCGAGGTTGGGCGCTTGTTGTGTGTTTGGGTCCATTTTGGTTGTGTCAAAAATATGAATGTGCAAGAGAAGATATGTTATCAAGCAGGTTTTAGAGAGTAGAGTGGTGTTGGATTGTTTCTGACGTCTGGGGCATGAGGGATCTTAATAAATAGCATCTTAGAACACCCCGGATCCGCCAACCGAATGAGTGCTGTTCGAAACCGCCGTGTGTCTAGCCGCACATCAGGCGATGAAGCCTTTTCAGATGTAGCTACGGCATACTGCACCGGCTCTGAGACGGGCTGGGAGCATGAGGGGTCACAGTGCCGGGTTGGCCCATGGGGTTCTTTGGCGGCTGGCCAATCACAGCCAGGCTATTGGGGAAGAAGTCTTTCCCGCCCTTTATCCCTCATACTAAGCGGCGTCAGCGCCACTGCCCCGCCCTCGGTACTGACCTCGGACATTTGCCTATGCGACACCATGCTTGATCTTGCGTGGGTAGTCGGAAGTGGAACAGTAGAAGACGTCGGGGGGTCCCAATTCCTTTGCACCCTCCACACTACCGACGCGCAAGTCGCTGCTGTGAAAAGAACAAGCTCTCAACATGGTCAAACACCACCTCATGATCGGTACATGGACGCCGCCAGGTGTGATAATCACAGTCTCCTTCGACGATGAAACGCTGAAGCTGGAGTTGGTGAAGAAGACCGAAATCCCAGAGGATGAACCGATCAGCTGGATGGCCTTTGACGTATGCGCACAACCCACGAGCCTTGATGACACCGGCAGTGACTGATCAACAGCAACACAGCACCAAAGGAAGAATATCTACGGCGCATCAATGAAGAAATGGAGTTCACATGAGGTGAAGAGTCCGGGCGAGATTGTGCACACAGGAAGCTTCCCAATTGGCGGACATCGTATGCGACTTCTGGACATCCTCACGATTACTTGCTGACAGGTATTACAGCCAAAGCAAATGATGCCGACACAAAAACACGCGCCATCTTCCTCCTTCCCGCGAAAAAGCCACCGTATGCCGTATACTGCAACCCGTTTTACGACTATGCTGGCTATGGCAACATCTTCTCGGTCAACTCCTCCGGACACATCAAGGAGAACATCCAGAATTTCGAATACTGCGAGAAAACCGCAATCCACGGCATGGTCTTCGACCCCTCAGAAACTTACCTCTACAGCGCAGACATGTGGGCGAACCGGGTGTGGTGTCACAAGAAGATAGATGATGAGGGCAGGGTAGAAACAGTAGGCTTCACCGAAGCGCCGGCTCCAAAGGACCATCCTAGATGGGTAGAGATGCATCCCTCGGGTAACTATCTCTACGCTTTGATGGAAGGAGGAAACAGGCTATGCGAGTATGTGATTGATCCAAAGACCAAGCTACCAATCTACACTCACAAGGTGTATCCCTTGATACCGCCTGGTAAGCGCTATACTCACCGCCTAGTATATTCACCGCTAAAATAGGCACCTTAGGTATTCCCAACGCAGACACAATGTACCGGTCAGATGTCTGTTTCCTAAACAAGTCCGGCAATTACCTTTTCGCTACGTCCCGGTCCAACTCGTTTGATCTCACCGGTTATATCGCTGCTTTCAAAGTCGCGCCGTCGGGCGCTATCGAACGACAGATTTGTCTTAATCCTACACCAACTTCTGGCGGCCATTCTAATGCAGTCTCTCCATGCCCTTGGTCGGATGAGTGGCTCGCACTTACCGACGACGAGAAGGGTGGAATTGAGATTTATAGATGGCATGATGAGTTCCTTGCAAGGGTTGCAAGGTTGGAGATTGGAGAGAAAGGGTTTGGTATGAATGCCATATGGTACGACTAGTTTGTCCAGGACGAAATATGAATGCTACAGCAATCCATGGAAATTTGATACATCGTTGATTGTCATTCTACGCCATGGAATGAGTTACTCTTAAACTTTTCCACCCTTTAAGGAAATGTCTTGGCGCCTTGAAGGATGGGGGACAAACTTCCAGCTGACGTGTGATTCGCACGATCAAGCGGATAAAAGATGCATGCCGAGTGTATCTTCTCCGCTGCGGCCGGGTTGTGCCCGGAAACCTGGCGAGAAGTCTTGCGGATTTATGTTCAACCACGGAGGAATGAGGGGCAGCGCTGGAAGTGTTTTGCCCCCAGTCTAGCGGCAGCCGGCAAATAACATCGGGGAAGCTCTTCTTCCCCCTCCAACTTCGTCATGGTCCGCACCACGGCATTGTAGTTTAGATTAGGTTAACGTTCGCTGAATTCAATACCAACCTTGTAGTTTCTTTCTCAAGATCTGTCCTCTATTTCTGCTTGTAGTCAAAACACGTTCAACGACAAAAGAACATTGCGGACTTACTACAGCCACCCCACACTAGCAAGACAGAATGGCGTCCAAGTCAACTCCAGGCATTTTGTACGTGACTATGCAGCCCAAAGAGGGTCTGCCAGAAGCACAATTCCACGACTGGTAAGTTGACTCTTTAGACAGTCGAATTCTGGCTTCGTCAAGATCCCATCTAACCTTTATCCCCCCAAGGTACCAAAACGAACACGGTCCCAACCGACTTCGCCTGCCATTCTGCAACAATGGCTTCCGCTACCGCGCAACCGATCTCGAGGATGCGCCCGGCTCAAAAGACAAGCCTGAGTGGATGGCTGTTTACGACTTTGACGAGCTCGAATGGTTGACGAGAGAACCGTATCTAAAACTTCGTAGTGCGCCGGCGCAGTCGCAACGGGAGAGGGATACTATGAAGCAGATTTTCGTGGACAGAAGATCCTATGACCTGCTCAAGGAGTGGAAGGGAAACGACTTCAAGGACCTGCAGAAAGTGGAGAATGAGGGCGAGAAGAACGTCATGATTGCTGTGAGCTTCGCGCTGCAGGATGGTGCAGGTAAAGAGGAGGAGCTGAGGAAGTGGTACGAGGAAGAGCATGTACCGCTTCTGCAAAAGGTTCCCGGGTGGAGACGAACAAGAAGATTTGTCACTTCATATCTGGACCTTGAAAGCGGACACAAGACGGAGAAGGAATATCTCGCGCTGCACGAGTATGGCCCGCAGAACGGACTTGGAGGACCAGAGTTCAAGGCGGCTATCACAACAGAGTGGTGCGACAAGATATACAAGGACGTGGTTAAGGACCGCAAGAGGAGGGCATATGAGCTATACTACACGTTTGGCGCTGCACAGCGTGATCTGCAGAGTCTCGCAAGCAAAGACACATTTGCCGTAGAGACAACAGAGGGCAAGGTAAAGACGCACCCAGCACATACCACGCCAGAGCAACGACCAGTGATAGAAAGCTTCGTCACAACAAAAGACGGCGTCGAACTCCCCTACCGACTCGAAGGCTCCAGCGACCCCAACGCACCACTCCTCGTCCTCGCAAACAGTATCCTAGTCGACTACGGCATCTGGGACGACTTCGTCACCGAGTTCCTCAACCTTACAAACAACAAGTACCGCATCCTGCGCTACAACACCCGCGGCCGCAACACCCTACCGCCTGACTCGACATCCCCAATTACCGTGCACACCCTCGCCGAAGACGTGATAACGCTCCTCGACGCCCTCCGCGCCAAAACAGCCTCCATCATCGGCGTCTCGCTCGGCGGCGCCACAGCCCTCAACGCAGGGCTCTCCTACCCGCACCGCATCTCCGCCTTCATCGGCTGCGACACCAACGCCTTCGCGCCCGCCACCAACGCCAAAGCATGGAACGAGCGCGTCGAGCTCGCGGAAAAGGAAGGCCTGAAAACAGCATCTGGCAACCCCATTGTAGGCGAGGACCTCGCAGAGATCACAGTCCGCAGGTGGTTCGTCAAGGAATCCTACGACGACGCCGAATTGGCCAAGAAGATCCAGCGCGTCAAGGATATGGTCAAGACGAATTCGCTACCGGGCTTCCGCGACTCGGTCAGGGCGCTGCATGAGTATGATATCAGGGAGAAGATGGCGGGGTATCAGGGTAAAGGCGCGTTTTTGGTTGGTGCAGGCGATGGTGTACTGCCGAAGACTATGAAGGAGAATATGGCGGAGAAGCTGGGGAAGGGGGTTGAGCTCAAGGTTGTAGATGGGGCTGGACACTTGCCCATGGTGGAGAGACCGCGCGAGGTTGCGCAGTTTGTGGCTAAGTTTCTGGAGGGTTAAGGAGATGCGAATATGTGTGTGTCAGGGGGGGGGGGTCTGAAAATACGATTTGCCTCGAAGCAGTTCGAGTATATTGTAGACGAGAGTGTTGTATTCTGGTATTTCTTGAGTCTTGATTTTTGAGAAAAGCCGCCTAGTACACACCTGATTTTCCCGCTCACGAACTATCATGCAGTCATCAATTTCATAAGTGCCTTATTTTCTCACCAATAGCATTACTTGAGCGACGAATCTTTTCTTTCAAACCCCCCCCCCCTACTATTCAAACCCTGTTCTACAGACCCCTCACCTATCCTCTCTACCATCCGTCCAGCTAGTACAATTCACGCACCGCTTAGCCTTCTCACTAATATATTTCCTACAAAACTTGCACTTGACCTGCCTCTTGACAATATTGTCGCCGCTGCCCCTGCTATAAGCTAGCGCAATGACCCAAAGCGCCAGCGCAACAATAATAAACCTTACAATCTTGTCGAGAAAATTGCCATAGGCAAGTACCACAGCACCGTCATCAACGGCCTGCTTCGGCGTATTGTAGCCGTTTGAGATGGAGGTATTATAGTTTGGGCCGTGCTGCAGGACGGCAAACTTGGCGTCGAGGTTACGCGAGAGAAAGGGTAGGAGTGAGATTATAGGCAGGATGATGTCGGACACAAGAGCATTTGCGCAGGCGGTGAAGGAGGCTGCGAGACTGCGAGGGGGGTGGGTGGCCAGAGTTAGTATACCGGTTACACTACACTACACACACTCTGGGAAGGGGGGGGGAGGCGCAAGCAATCGGGCCATTGAGAAGGAAGGAATTTTTTTTGATCCTTGCAAGACAAAAAAAGGGTATCACTGTACATTAAGCCGACGGCTACCTCGAGCACGTTATCGCGAAGCGC